GGATATTTGATAAGATTCATCTATTTAGGTTAAATTTATTTTTATCTTTTATCGTGAGAGGTCGAAAACCACTTTTAGTGAAAAGGGAAGATGTCGGTAAATTAAAAATAGATCTCGCAAATAGACAGTCGCAGTCGAGGTCAAACTTGTGAAAGAGTTCGTCCAGGGAAGTATTAACAGTACTACTGGTAGCTGAAGGGTGCTGGTGAAATTACAGGCACATGAGACTTGTCAACTGATGTCTCAGGGTGACGGGCGCAGTGGCAGTGTCCAGATCACCAGATCTTTGCGACTTAAAGCTCTGAGTGGCACTGCAACTACTATTGACAGGCATGTCGCTTAATAACAGGCGAATGATTTATACGTCTCGTCACTTGGTATCATAAAAACATACGTAACTACGTTCATTGTTGTCTATTAATTGGAATATATTTGCTGTTTTCATTATCTCGCACTATATGGAACCTGTTTTTTTTGGAAACCTATTGAATTGAAACTGCCTCTGTGGCCGGACGGCTACCATGCCGGGACTGCGCCGAAGAGGTCCCGGGTTCGATTCCCGGGCCATTATACATTACATTACATATAAATTATACATTTATTTGTTTCGTGAGTTTGGGTGTAATTTGTGGTTGTCTATGTGTGTCCATGGCATCCGCGATACAGGGCTTCCCTAGTGCGAGGCTGTAAAAAAAATAAACTAGCTCTCCACAGAATATAAATTTATAAACGTGTGCAAAAAATACATAGTCTGACGTTCCTACATAATTTTTACTCATAGGCCCAACTTTATTCCAGTCGACATTTCTTCTATACAAAATATTTCATATATTCGCAAACATGAAAATACTCAGGCCCGAGGGAATTTATATAGCAGTCTTTATGACATAATACGACCAAATGTGAAAACATCCCGTTTTTATACATAAAGTACATTAGTCGGATTGTCGCTGTTTTTATCGCAGTTTTCAGGCATTGTTTGGTATGCCAGTTTGTGTAGTCACCGTCAAAACTTTTAAAAACAAAGACATGTAAAGCAAAATGTATGTTTTTATTCTTCTATCATATTGAAAAAATATTTGGCTGATCAGTCAGTTTTGATCACGGCACCTGTAAAGATCAAAAACGTTGGTTTGTTTGAAAAAAAAAATAACGCACACACTCAACATAACTAAATAATAAATAAACAAATAAGTATACGCGATTTAGACCCGGAAAAAATAGTTTCATTACCAATTGCCATAATTATTTATATATCAAAGGACGTCCATCATTAATTTTGAACTTAAAAACGATTTTACACAGTAACAATAATGCAATGTATGCACAGCACTAGAATTGACACCCAATGGTGGAGGTTTACTAACTCCTAGATACAGAATATCCTAGTTCAGGAGTTAGGGAATCACTAATAAATTGCATTTCTTCTCTTGTACACTATCATTTTTGTTCATGCATCTTCTGATGCCATTATTTTTCTTTATTAAATAAATTATTATTAAAATACAATGTCGCTTGCAATGTGGCCAATCTCAATATATTTACTATAGTATAGTGTAAAAAATACAATCATGCTTATAAATATCATAAGTTAAACTTGAAGAGTCTCAGTGGGTGTTATTTGTACGTGTGTCGTAGGTACATTACGAAATAGGTCTGTATTCTATATCTGAGTTGAATACATAATAATTAAGCGCAGTTAAAAATCACTGTATGCATATTTACATAATAATGTGGTGTAGTGGCAGAAAACACGAATAGAAATTGATATTAACGAGTGTCCATGGAATTATCTCTGTAATTGTACAGAGTTGTGTGTAATTAGAAGCGACCTTGCCAGGTCGTAAACTTAGACGAGGTCAGTTACTGTCTGCCGCGAGTACACAGGAGGACGTACCCACCTATAATGCCAACTGATGACGCACAGGTGTAAACAAAACTCATTTTCGGATATTAATTTCATGTTCGGCGTCGTGGTCGTAATTTAGTATCCTATATCTTTACTTAGTTTTTTAATATTAGAAATTAGGTAAACAAAGAAGCAGGGTTCGCGAACCTTTATTTTCGGGAATTTTTAATAAAAATATTGAATGATTGTGTCATTTTCTTTGTTCTACATAAGAAATAAAGTAGGAATTATGAATAGGCCTGAAGTCATTGTTTGTTAGGTTAATGGTTGCTAGGATTGCTTATAGTATATAAATTACCTACACATTTTGTCGTTTTTTTTTTGCAAAAATCTGAGGGGCACTGCCACTGCGTCTGTCACCCTAAGAAATAACTTGATAAGTCCTATGTGTTTGTAATATCACCAGAAACCTTTCCCTTCAAAACCGGAACGCAGCAAAGCTCCCATTACTGCTTGGTCAGAAATCGGTGGCAGTACTTCCTTAGACGAACTCTCTCACAAGGAGCTCTACTCCTAAAAAATTAAGAAGATGCGAAGAATGCCTTTCGTAAAAAAAAAGAAATATTTTTGGTTGTTATTGAATGAATTCACAATTCCTTGATGTTACCGTGCCTGATAAAAAATCTCTTTGAAGCTATTTCTAATGCTAAAACGAAATAAAGGGTCGGCAGACTTAAAGCACAGAAGTCAGAATCCAATATCATGCATTTAAATCAATACATAGACCGACCAAAGCACATAAGTCAATTAATTTGTTTCAATTCAAATTCTAGTGGCGTCTTTCATTCTCTTACATTTTCCAACGTCATGAACAAGAAACTTTGTTGCTATAATTCTTTTTAAAAAAGCTTTTTTACCTGTATGTGCTCTTTTGTATGCCTTCTTAGGGACTTTAAAGGACATAGAAGATTTAATTACTAATTATTTACCGAATTGCGTCAAAGCAGCTTTATTATGTAAACGAGAAATAACTTTACCACTTACCGGCAATCAATAATTATCTCTGTCACAATACTGGGCATTCAGCGGCCGTGAGTGGCTGTGTATAAGGAAGTCACAGGACTACGGTACCCGATGTTAATTACGAGCACATTTTATTTGCGGTTGGTCAAAAAGTCCATGCAGCTTTTGCCATCAGCTATCTTTGAAACAAAAAGGAATTTTTTTCTGTATATTGTGTATGGTTGTTAAAAAAAAAATTTTGCGCGCATTTTAAGAATAGGTGGTAAAGTATTCGTAAGGTGTCGTATTTCATCTTGATAATGCCAAATCACACACATCTTCACAAAGCCGTCAAAAACTATTGCAGATAGGTGAAATGTGTTACCTCATCTAGCGTATTCGCCCGTCATAGCCCTTTCAGATTTTCAGTTATTTCGGTCATAATAAAATTCTTTAAATAGACACGATTTTGATTACGAAGAGTGCTGTATTTTATAAGTAAAGACAGGATTTTTTTATGAAAGGGGCATTCTAAAATTACCCGAAGCATGGCAAAAGATCGGTAGATCAACATGGCCGGTGTACTGATTAAAGTTTGTTAATTTTTTGAAGATTTTTCATTTATACCTTACATTAATATAGCACAGATTTTTTTGGCCAACCCTCTACAATTTTGTTTGATACTATAAGTACTAGCCAATTGTGCAGTGCCATCTTTGTTATTTTAATCGATTATAATATTTACAAATTATATTATATGATGTACAGGGTAACACAGCTGCTCATATCATACATCAATAATTATCTCATTGCCCCTCGATGGCTATAGATTGTTAATTGGAATTTCATAGTACAGTCAAGTGCGCTTCGAGCTTTGACACTTATAACTTTGGACCGCTTTGTGGCACTGCCACCGCGGCCGTCACCCAAGGACATAAGTTCACTTGTCATTTCTACTGTAATGTTAGTAATGCTCACGTACTCCTTGGCGGCAAAAATAGGTATTTGAAAGGGTATTTTAAAAATGTCCACGCCATCCACACCGAAAAACTAAATCCATGTTTGCCAACATGATAAAACGAAACGTGCCCGAGGTGCTCGAATTACTGCGGCCGTATGTTTCCGTTAGCGACACCCCTGTGCACCTCGGTGAGATTTAATGCCCACTAGCTACAGAACTGGGTTACCGAAAGGAATTCTGCGTATCCAGATAAAAATATACGTATTTTTAAATATATGTACAATAATGCCCAGAGGCAATTTTGTAACCCACTTTGGAACAAAAAATAGCAAACAGGTTCATTTTCACATTTCTACGTTGAGTTGAGATTAAATTAAAAAGGCACGATTTGTTTCGTGGAGTACATAGATATACACATTGCAACGGGCAACAGCCATAGGGCTTTGTTTTCTGCACTCGACCTACTTATCGAAGCGTTTAAAATGTCCCCACACCATTCTATAAAAACACACGAAATTAAATAGTCTTTTTTTGTTTAATCGGTAGATTAAAATTACCGATAAAATGTACTGGGTAATTAACAATAAACGAAACAGCGATTGTAGTTTGAAATAATAATTTTTCTTCATTAAATTCGTTTTTATGGTGTAATTACCAGAATAAGCTGGCATCATTCATGTTTAAAAAGTATAATAAAACTCTGAAAATGTAATAAAAACTGTAAAATTGATCGCTCTTTAATACGTTGCGAAATTGAATATAGCGCCATCTATCCATTTCGTGAGAAAGTTACTATGAAGCGCCATAAACATGTAAACGTAGGTTGGTACGTGTATAGTCAAGATAGTTACATCAGTGTGCGTTAACTGGCGCTCAGTCAATACGAATCAACATTTACAGCGATGCCGTCACAAGCCTCCATAGCTCAGGGGTTAGAGCACTGGTCTTGTAAACCAGGGGTCGAGAGTTCAAATCTCTCTGGGGGCAATGCGTCATCGAGGTTTTTTTTAAATTTTTAGTCATATTAACTTGTTTTTATTTATTTATTTTCCAAATATATTGATTTTTTTAACATTTTGTCTCTTGGACATTTTGTTACATAAAAGAATTCATTTTATGTTTTTTGCATAAGTGTGTGCAATTTAGAGTTGAAAAATGTAATTAGTTATTTATTTCGTCTTTTTCCAGCGGACTGGGCGACAGAGTGCGTTTCCCGTGCAGAAATCCTGCGATTGATCTACCAAGGCCGTTTCCTTCATAGCTCGGTGACGCTTGGCGCACTAGGCCTGCCTCTCGGCCGCACCACTGTCATGCATCTTGTGCCGCGCGAACATTTGCCTGAACCTAACTCCCACGGTACGACGCCAACATTACTTGATGACTAATAAAATTTACACTGTACATTACAAAATCGGACTTCAAAGGCACCGTGAATGGACGTGGCCTTTGTCCAGCTGCGAATGAAAAAGGACTTAGCGTTTGGCCAGCAGTGACCACAATAAAACATAGATTTTTACTTCATGCCTTCTAAGGTTTATTTCATTATTAATTTTTATTTACAGAAGTTCGATGGTCGTAATGTATCACTCTCCTGTCCTTTTCCCTTCACCTTGTTAACCGTAAGTGCTGAACAAACCCTAAATCCTCAGTCCTATATAATTTCCATGTTTCTTTACCCTTCTTTTCCTAAATAAACACTTATTATACCTAATAATAGAACATCATTTGGATAAAAATGAAAAATAAATTGCATTATGCCATTACCAGCATCTCCAGATATAATGACAAATTTAAAAATGTTATTCTGTTATGATTTTATTACTTATAACGTGAGGTGCGTTTGCAATGGCACGTGGAAGTTGGTCTACAAGCATAAATTTCTAATAAATATTCCTTGATCTTTAAACAAAATTACGTATAATTTGCCACTTGCTAATGGAATTGCGCTTCTATGAACTTGTAACATTTTTAACATCATTATTTTTTGTGAAACTTTGAATTATTTTACTTACAGATCAACGGCAAAAGAGCAAAGGCGGGTCTAGCAGTTGTTGTTCAGCGTCGTGCTGCATTTTGTAATGGCGACGGGTGCGGCCAGCCGGACTCTAATGTGTTCAGTGACGTAGCCCGACGCTCGACAGTATTCAGACTTGTGCTGTTTTTAAATGAAGCCAATACGTACCTACACAAACTTATCAGACTTTTAATTCTTTATGTACCACCAAGAATTCCAATGAAATTGTAAATCAATTACGCTATTTAATTTTGATCACACCAAAATTGAATACGGTGAAAATTAACAACATATACGGTCCCTGTTGATCAGGATATTTATGCGATGTTAAGAATGCTTTAAACTGGGTCTTTGGGAGAGATGATTGAACGTATGCACCTATAAAGTCTGCATTTATTAAGCTAGAACAAAGTCCCGGAGAGTAAAACTCTAGACTAACGAAGTTGCATATAATGTTGGACAATATAGGTATAATTCAGAATATGGGGCGGAGCGTTTGATACAAATTTTCTCTAAATTATAAAGCACAAAATTATAGTTAAAATTAAACGCACATACGCTTCGTTTGAAAATATCGCAAGTCTATTAGAAACGTCACAATCTCATTTAACAATTCAGGATAGCTTTTTAAGCGTTTGTATATGTCACCGCGTACGTAGATCGTATAGAAACATGCTGCCGAAATGTGTTTAATGTTTAGAAATTCGGATAAGGACGTGGTAGTAGTTGGCGATGTCTCCAATGGATTTGCAGTTAGCCCGGCTGTCGGCAAAATACAAATTCTTAGTATTATAATTTAGGCCATTTCTGTACTAAGGTCATTGAGAATAGTTCTGTTTGATGTTGCAGAGGTCTGTTTGTTGAAACAATGTTGCAGTGAACATAAGCTCAGACGTATAATCTTTTAACGTCAAATGGAACTTGGCTCAGGGTCGTTATTTTACATGAATTTATAAGCATATAACGTTATTATGGAGGTTATTTATAAAAATTTAAAATGACAAATTTAGTAGTGAAACGATCGGAGTGTGTAAATTACTCTCATTTGCAATGTAAATAGTATATTTGGTAATTTAAGGCGTCTATGGATTATTTTTATTTGTGATAAGTTCTTTGCAATAAATTGGCATTTTATTAAATTTGTGAAATTGCTATTTACTGCGCTAGGTTGTAGCTTGTAATGAAATTATCGGTGCAACTGGAAATGCATAGGTTTATTGGAAAAATAAAAATAATAACACGAACACAGCGACTGTCTGGTGAGGATTAAGGTTGATGAAAATTGTATAAACTTTGGAAATGTTAGTTGTAAAATTACTTGTCCTGCTTTAGAAATTGTACCCATTACAACACATACCGCTTTCCAATGTAATTATCAAGTGTTAGACGCTGCAAGCGACGCTTTGCGCTTCTCAATTGCGTTGTACCAACAACTAAACGTTCTCTGTTATTTTACAGGTTTTTTTATGCCTTAGCGTTACCATAGGCCACACTTTTGTAAATATCGAATAGAGCTTTTATATTTTTAATTTACATCACGCATCATTTAGATCTATAGTTTATATTTGGCATTTTATATCTAGCTATAGAGTATTTTTTATTTTTTAAATTGGCTTAAGAATTGAGTTTTCATCTAAACGATTATTTTGGCTTAGCCTTAATTTTTGTTGTAAGCTTACAATTTAAAGTATCCTCGAAACTTGATGTTATATTTAGATCCATCCGGTGGGGACACACAGTGTGCGGTCTTGTACTGTGTTCCAGCGAAATACTTTGTGATAGTACAAATAAAATTTATTTACTCATTGACACGTTGAAATTAAGAGCTCAGTGATAGCACACTTTAACAGTATTAAGAGGAACTAAAATAATATATTTACCGATCAAATTGCCACCGTATTCCAAGCGCAGACTGAGATATATCTTGCCATTGGGAGATTTTTTAAATTACAACGACTCGTGGGATGGGAGGCAGGCGTTTTTGGATTTGAGATTTAATTTTGAACATTTCAATGCCGTGAGAATGTTTTTTTTATTTTGGTTGCTCTGTTTAGTTGCTGTATGTACGTATTTTGTTAAGTTGTGTATAAAATACCTAGTTTATAAATAAAATTAATGCGACTTTATTTTGCATGTTTTATTTTTGAATCAGCTTTTTTTAAGGTGTCCTTTGTACATAATCGCTTGGATAATATTTTCGATTGAATATAAAAATAATGTTTCAATAAATAGTGGCTTTTGTAACATTCTCGTGGGGCTGGCTATGATACGTATTGGTTTGTTAACTTGTTACAATAGCTATCACGGATAAGATTATTTCGAAGCGTGAACAAAGATTATAGGATTTCATCGCACTTCTAAATGATAAATTATTTCTAGATATTCGTAATTAAAACAAAAACTTTTGTTTTATGATTATAAGAATCACTAGTTTGTTTTTTTCTCTTCAAAGGAAAATAATAATGATTATAGACAACACATTCAATTTCTAAAGGAGTCTACTTTTTGTGCTTTTAGAACAATAACTATTTCATTGTCCAAGTTTCACAAATGGCCAGTCCTCAAATATTGTATAGTCTGAACTAACGTAGGTTCGCGTTAAGGTGATATCGTAGGCAAGATAGATCGATGTCTTACCGTATTTTAATATTTCCTATAGAATAGTTCTTATTACTAACGCGGCTACAACATGCTTTATGTCGTTTATTGGTTTGTGTGTAACCAAATATAAATAACAAAATCACAATCAAAAGCTCTTTTCATATTTAGAGAGACACCCATAGTCAATGGAGACACCACACTTATTCGGAATCGGCTTCAACCTGACAGAAAAAGTTTTCTGTTCATGCAATAAGAGCCGAATCCGGCGCGAAGTCTTATTCGCCCTAATTGCATGGATATAAAGCTTTTTCTGTGCGGCTTAATAAGATTCCTGTCATTAAATATAGTGACATCCTTATCGATAACGTGGTGGTATATTAATAAATTACTGGTTATTTAATAACGAAAGACACATGTTTTAAAGCGTTACACGAGGTAACTTTTCAAATCGTGAAATGCATAATTGAACTTTCTGCTGTTTTAAACTTATATACATTTTTTTGCGAATAAAAAATAGAGTGTGTTGAAGCCACGAGGAAAATGTAAATATTCGATGACTTTTTAATTTAGACAAAACTAGTACTAAATAGCTTCAAGTGAGTATCTTCGGGCCGTTGTATGCAACAAATAATATTCGAGACAAATTTAAAAAAAAATCTTTATCTTAATAATTAACACTTTCGGTTTGTAAAATCAAGAAGAATTTAAAATGTGAAAATGGAGGTTCGCATCTAAAATTAACTACGTACACTAGTCATCAACGAATTGTACATAATAATTGAAGCATATAGATTGAAATTGCAAGGACTAAAAACCAAATATTGAAAACACAAGACGATATATTTAGAGCAAGAAATTCGAGAAGTAATTTTTATGTTCCACTTGACGGATGCACTGCCGTGTCCTACGAAATATTTTTTAAATGTAATGTAAGATGATTGTGAATACACATACAATAGTAAGGATCGTTTGTTATATTATCAACACTTTTGTAACAACAAAATCGACGTACTGTGCTACTGACAAATGCGCTTTCACCTTTATTATTTACAAAGAAACATTGGGCGCTACCGGTATTTGCCTTGTGTTTCTTATAACATTTAATGCGAACTGTACCTGATTTTTGTTTAAGCTATCTTAGAACTCGGTGCATACAACGGTCGGTCTTCTTAAGGGTCAGACCACACTGTCCATAACGCATTATCACCGCAACCGAGGGGAACGTGGTGGTTCGCACCCCGCGATGAACTTTTGGTCAAACTGTTACAGTCACGTGGATCTGCCTCTTTCTCGTATGTGGATCGGATAGAGTAGAATGTCGACGAAATGTGTTCATTCGGTAAAGTTTCCTGATTAAAAATAGCATTATAATGTATCACGAACAACATGCGGGCAATCGGCTAACCGGCGTCACTTTAATAGTGACCTAACGGCGCAGTGCTGACGCGTACCGGACAGTGGGATCCCACCTTAATAAATTAAAGAAATATTAGGTGTCACTGTATAACAGGTGTTTAACTACGTACGTACATAATCTATATACTTGTTAATATTAATTAATGATTATAACAATGTTGATTCTATTGATTTTTTCTTAAATTTGAATTTAATTTCCTCAGGGTAAAAGATTTGCTTCAATTCCCAAGTTTCCGCATTTTTGTTTTGTGTTCAGACTCTATGTTTGTGTAGATAGTTGGAAATAATTTGTAACTAAATCAATCGACACTATAGGTTGTACATTGTTTGAATGACTATTGAGTTTCAATGGGGTCAAATAAAATTTTAAGAATATACCTTTGACTTTTATTATACTTCGTTATTTAATATTTATTAATCAACTATATACACGGTAAGTACGAATATCGACAGTAAAATGTATTATAACTGATTTTCCTAAACTTAAATGCTAAATTTCATGATACGCTTTTAAGAGACTATGTTATTTAAATTTTTATTGAATTGATATTCAATTATTTTTTATGTGAAATTACTCCACTAGTTTGTTATAATTATTAATACCAAGATCGAACACTCAGAAAAAAATCCTTCGATACGGCCGGATTCGAACCGACGTCGCCTAGTATACCGTGGCAGACGCTATACCAACTAAGCAACGGAACCAAACGGCGGACCTCACGAATTTTTCTGTGTTTGTTGTCGCGTCTTTCTTTGTATTTGGTTTTCTCAACGACTTTTCAGCCGTAGCGCCATCTATGAGAAATGTTAAGAATTTCGTCACCCAGTTAGAACCTATACAGCTACCAACCCTGACTAGAGAGGTTGCTATTTATTGTATTTAAATTACTACTAAGTTATTCCTTATAATTGAGGCTACAGTGCGTAAAAGTGGTGTAACCCACTTTTTTTTTGACAATATTACTTTAAAATGATTCTAAAGTACTATTTAATAATTACTCAATATTTGGATGCTATTTTCATGAAAAAAAAAAGAGAAAATTTAATGACCTGAATCATTCTTTGTGTGAAATCTCAATCAATCATTATTTGTGTGAAATATAAAATTGCCTTCTTTCGATCGGCGTTATAAAAAATATTGGTGTTATTTCTTTCACACTTGATCAGTTTGATTCCTAGATGAGGCAAGCAACTTTTTAAAGTCTGGATGCAGTATTTCTTACTTTTTAAAATAAAATAATGTCGACTTGAAGCAAACTATCGTATCCACAATGTTTAAAGTACTTTCCCTGTATGTAACACAGAGGTTTGTATATTCAAAGAACAAGAATACATCCGTTTGCAAACAGTTATAAATTATTTGATGGACAGTCAACAGCATTAGGCAATAGCCTAAAAGTGAATACACTTTTGTTCGAATATAACCTCCAGAGTAACGGAGCAAGATCCGTCAATGTTTAACTTGATGTGCTGCCCTTCCGTACCTATACAAAGAAGCAGTACTCGATTAAAGCTAAAACAAGCTTCACTCCACAATTTCCACTGAACAAAAAGAAAGATAATGAATGAAAATGTTAATGATAATTTAATAAACTCCTAAGGTTGCTTGGAAGAGATGGCCCTTTAACAATAAAACTATATATTATAAAAAACCTATTATAATATATTTACATTATCACAATTTTTAAAATACATAATAAAAAATGTTTCTTTCATTCAATCATTCATTCATCTCAAGTGTAAAAAATTGCATTTTAGCTGTTTTATTGGGACGACACAAGAATGAACAAAAGATTGCGTTGTTTTCGTTCTACAAACGTTTTTGATCTTTGTGTCAAATTCTGAATTTATTTGTAGTAATTGATTTGACTCGTGATTGCCTTCTTACTTCTTACTATATTGACTTCTTGCTTTATGTAAATTGATAAACAAACACTGTATATATTATATTTATATTATATTATATTTAGTCTGTTCTTGCTCAATCGTTGCTAACGCACTGGATCCACTTTTCTATAGTCCGCTACTTCCTTGCGAGTTTAAAGCCCTTCTCCTCACGCAATTTTCTATCTCTTTGTTGGCATATATATGAGAATATCTTACCTTTTCTTGGCAGTCACTGAAAGTGTTAATCATTATAACATTGGACAAGATCCATCGACAATTTTGTCTTTGATATATCAACGGATGCAACGTCGCGAGCGCCTACGAGTTGATTTTTTGTCGATCCGTTTGTCGTAGTCGACAAAGTCATTTTCGTCCTCGTGTCATTGAGGGTACATGAAGTACCACTTGAGGATGAACAGGGTCTTGTCAAGTTCCAGCTCGGCGGCGCTCAGTTGCTTGAGACGCTTTTCGACGTTTTGCAGCGTCGCTATCTCGGGAGGGGTTAAGGTTTCTTCTACCTGTAACAATAAGTAATTCCGATGTCGAGTAAATAATAATTATAATCTGTTTTCATTTCTAAGACCGGTTACACACAGACTCCCTTCCCATATCCAGTCTAGCCCATCTATCGCTTCTTTCAAGAAACGGTTGAAAGCGCATTTTCTTGCTGAATTCTCTTGGTAATCATGTCATTGTATTTTTTACATACTTATTTATGTATATGTGAACCTAGGTGTATATATTACATTACATACATATTTATGTTATTTATTATGATTCATTATAATACTTATGTAAGTATGGTATTTTTATTTTTATTTATGTAGTTTATTATACAGACTGTATATTTGAAAGTGGGACATACTTATAGAGTGCGTTATAATCCTGATTCTGAATCCAAAAAAATAATAAACTAATGAACTTAAACTTTATAAAAAATATTCTTTTCATTTTTTTTTTCGACTACTACTTGAGAACAACATTAGTTATCGAAATCTATGCACATCACTATTATTACTTCGACGCAGCGGCGAAAAACAAAGCACAGGTCGCGGGTGGGGACGCGGGCGCATACGCGAATTGCTCAGTGCACGACCTTGATCTAACGAAGACACGTAAATTATTTGTACTTCCGCTCGTCCAATCGCCGCAAAATGGATATTTATTCTAACGTCGAACTGACCGAGATGGTGCGACTTTACGCAATAAGTGGTGATAGTGTAAGGCATTGAAATGTTCCCAAATCGGAGTATCGAAGTGTTGCGTGAGAGGATTATCTCAGCATTTTATACTGTGAGACAAAATGTGTTTGTGTTGTACACTTTAAAACAAAACTTAATAATGCCGTGCTAGACTATGCATTGTGGAAAACGGTGGACATTTTGAACACTTAACACTCCGTACCACGTAAGTGTAAAAATAAACTGTAAATAACTAAAAAATCAATCATTGTAAATAATTTGATTTCACATTTTTAACTACGCCAAAAACCTCAATTCTTATTAAATGATAACTAGTTACTAAATCATAAACTTATCTTTTTTAGTATGTAAAACATTTCGATGATAGTTCAAGTAAAAAATAATTAACATAAGCCAAAACGTAAATGTGAAATCATTGTTATTGTTGCTGTCTCACTCGGCACTCGCTTGGTAGTATTCCCATTGAACTCGAAATCAAGCGTAAAGGGAATCGGTTTATTCCTATGGACACTTCAAAACACATTTGTTGATTTATTTTTTGTTCTATCCCATATCCTAATTTTATCTTAGTCTATGTTAAGTTGTAACATGATTTACTTTGACATGTATGAATATGTCTCACTTTCAAATATACAGCCTGTATTTTATTTCTTCCGCATTCTGTCTTGCACGCTTTTGCCCGCTTTAACATTAGCTCTTACTGCCCTGGATTGGCTGGAAGAGATCTCTTTTAGAGATATTCCACCTTTGCTCACTTTCTGTTTATGTAATATTTCTGTTGTATTTATTTGGTGCAATAAAGAATATTACACATGGCGACTTTTAGTAGCGATGCAAGTAGTGTAGTGGCTAATCGTCTACCTTTTTGCATCGATGCAATCGCCTATAGATCGCAAGTGTAGCGAGGCAATCGCGCGTTTGCATCGCCGCTAAAAGTCGTCTGTGTAACCAGTCTAAGAAATTAACTATGGATGTTAAGAGACTAATCAACCAGGTAGCCAGTCAAAGGATTATTTCTTAGATTTTAAAATGGAAAAGTGTGTTATTTTTAACCGACTTTAATTAAAGGAGAAGGTTCCCAATCCAACTGCATTTTTTTATGTATGTTACGCGATAACTTCGGCATTTGTGTACCGATTTCGATGATTCTTTTGTTGGAATGAGAGTACCTCAGTATAGGTCCCATTTAAATTTGAAGAAAATATTCCACGTTTAAGGGTGGCAAACTAAGAGATGAATCCGGTTTCGCGCACTTTCCAGTAACCGATTTCAATAAAACTTGGCAAATAGATGTAATTCCACAAATTTTTTAGTCGGTTTTTTTTAGTACTCTGTACTAATTGTAAGTGACTAAATTGGAAGAATATCAGGGAGGCACTGACGTCGTCGATGTGCTGCTGCGCCTCGCCGCGCAGGCGCATGCCGTGCACGAGGCTGCGCACGCGCCGCTGCTTGGCGAAGAGGCGCTCGTGCGCCGCGCGCTCGTGCGCGCCGCGCCGCAGCACGTTGTGCAGCGAGCGGTAGCACATCTCCTGCGCCGTCTGCGCCACCTGTGAGCGAAGCTTAGGCTAACTCTGCGATTAATGAAAATTCACTACTTTCATCCACAATTCCAATAAAATAACTGCCTTATAAAGCGAGATGACACATTACAACACTGACAAGATCTCCTTATTTTGACCTCAGAAATCCTAACAAATACCGTCACTTACACAACTGAAATTTACTCGTAATTTTAATGAATATGAAATATTTCCATAAATGATTTTTTTCCCATTTTTGATACGAAGATCGAACACAAAGAAAAATTCCTTCGATCTGACTGGATTCGAACCAGTGTCTGTTGCCATACCAGGGCTACCGCTGTTACCAACTGACATCACGACAAATAAATAAACAATTAACACAGCTACTTTTCTCTCAAAATTTTAACTTTATTCATGCTATAGGGTATGATATAATCATAATAAATTAAGTCTACGATATTGCATGTCCAATGTAAATTCACCAATATAAAAAAGCTATAATAAAGTATGAAGTTATTACACACCTCGTACAATTTGACGTGGTACAAGTAAATCGCCTTCGCCATACCACCTGAAGACGCCGCTTTTCTCATTGGCTGGAAACATAAAACAAAACTGTAGTGCAATAAGGCGTAATAACTAAATAAATAAAACATGTCATGAATCATCTGCTGAGCACTGCTCTACCAGCCTAAATACATACCTGCACAGAAATGAAGTGTTCTTCTAACAATTTGTACGTGAGCTCTTTGCATTCTTTATTGGGTAGCATGGCGTGTTTTTGTATGTCCTCTTCTTCTATGTACTTTTTCGATCGGATTAAGCTGCAATGTTAAATAAACAAATTAGCATAATGTGTCCTTCGAGGTACTTGAACTTTTGGAATATTATACTTAATCCTTTGACCGCCGTGGACTCTTTAAAACGTCTTACATTCACTTTGCTGATACGCCAATGACGCCTTGTCCGCATCACTGCTAAAGGGCGCCGTGTGTGACTGCTCTTAGAGTCAATTTCAATTAAAATTAATAAATAAATATTAAGATATTCCTTGTTTTATTTGTATATTCTAGTTATGTTATTCTAGTTATTCATAGTTGCATTTTATGGTCAGTTCTTTTCTTTTTTGACTTAGGAGAATTGAATTAATGTATAGTGGAAATTCACAGAATGTCACATCACTCACATGGGCTTGGCATCTAGGGAACGAAACTAGTTTTTGTCAGTGGCAGTCAATAATACTATTCATTTGCAAATATCAACCTTCTAAAATTCCGCAGCAAGGTTGCATTTCCCGTGAATCGACACGAATAAGAACATTATTCTAGATTAGAATTGTTTAGAAATACAATATAGTTAACATTGTAAACAGAGGACACCTTTTTTATTGTATAGTCTATTAGTGCACTCTACACGACTAAAGTTTCTCAATAGTAATTACATTCTAAGTGTTCGATCTATATATTAATAATTATAACAAACCAGTGGAGTAATTTCACAAAAAATAATTGAAAATCGTGGTGGTGAAACATCCTGACAAACACTTCATTATTACATTCGTTAATTTCCGTAAAACCCGACTGACTCCGAAGCTTGGGCTAAAAAAAATTGGCAGCAGGCAATGATCATTTTTACTTTGCTTTGTACTTTTTACTATTTGATGTTTTCTTTAGTACATTGGTGTTTCAATGTCTATCACAGTACGTAACACTAAGGACGATGAACAGAGCGATGTTCTTTATACTTTGGCTCGTCTTACGGAGTGGTACAGGATTTATTTTCAATTTTAAGGGAGATATGCCGTTGTGCTTTTCAAATGACTAATGCAAAATAACGAGTTCTTAGGTTTTCGCGATTGTTACACATAGGAAATGAAACTATTTTTCCGGATTTAAATCGCGTATATTTTGACATGGTCAACCGTGACCATGGGACCTGTAAAGGGCCCGAAACGTCGGTTTGTTTGAAAAAACAAATAGCCGTGGGGCGACGGCTTAAGAATACATTGTCGCCTCCCCATACATGCCCGTGGGGGTCGTAAGAGGCGACCGAGGGCGTCACAAGTGTCCATCTGCTTAGCATTGTGGTAGGCTCTGTGCCGACTGGATAGCGACCACAGTACACACGGCGGAAAACCCTCCACAGTGAAACGCTTTTGCGAATCGCGTTCAGGGATCAGTTGGTGTACATCCAGTGCATTTGGCCAGACCGGCAAAATGATAGTGACGGAGTGAAGATATTTGAGTTTTCCATCCGTTACTCTCATCTCTGGACTGTATTCGCACTTTCCATCAGGCGCGGTGCAGTCATTTTGTCGAGTCGCAATAAAAAAAAAAAAATAATGCAAAATAAACTAAAATATTAAAATATGAATTGAAAATTTTGTACATGGTAGTCCTTAACATTGTCAAAACAAGAGACAAACTCAACCCTTTTGCCAATTTTTAAGCTTAAAATAATTATAGCCTTAGATTGTAGCGTCGACATTCTTCGGCTTAACATGTATTATAATATGTGAAATAAGCAAACGAGAGACCGGAATATTCTGGCGGCCTTGGAGCCGAGCCGCTCGGTGAGCGCGTGCTCGAGCGCGGCGGCGGTGAGCTGCTCGCTGGCGCGGCGCACGCGCACCAAGAACTGCCCGCCGCCCGCGTCGCCGCTGCGCCGCACGAACTCCGCGCCATTCTCCTCTGCGGACATTCGTATTGGTTATTGGCTTACACCATTCGACAATGTACAATTCGTACCTGTATAAATTAATGCTCCTAAAACTTATCTTCTTCTGACACTATAGACCGTCCACCATCTTTCGTAAATTGGAGGTCCAATAAAGGACATTCAGATGAAAATATAATAAAATTTAAAATCGGGTTATTTTTTAATAGTAATAAATTAAAACAGACATAGTGAATAATAATTTGCCATTGTATTTTGTCGGATAAGTTCGTATTTGTCTTGCTTTCTCAATTAGTTTCAGTACCCTCGTGACACCGTACTATTGTACATACGGTACATACCGAGCACCTTCAAATACTGCTCCAAGTGCTTGACCAGCGTTTGCCGGTCCGCAAGCCTGGCGCAGCTCTCGCGTAACTCATGCGCAGGCGCAGGCGTGCCCTCTACGGGCCATGAGGGGGACGACAGGTACATGTGCTGCAGTAGCACGCGCATCAGTTCACCCGCTGCAATTGAATGTGTCGACAGAGTTAGTTAGGACAACATCAAATTACGAGCTGTGCAGGTTAAGGACTTATTGCTATACTAGAGGAGCAAATTCTCGACAGCTGTAGTCATATATTAAGACATGAAAGAAAACTGAAATCATCACTAAAATTTTTCTTCGAGATTGTATCAATTACAACTAGTGGAGTATTTTCATAAAAAATATATTAATAAATGTATTTATAATTACAGCGACAACTATTATAAAAATAGCGACATCTCTTAGCAGCCGCTGGTAGTTGTAAAGGTTGGTCTAGTGAAAAGAAACTTTCATAAGTTTTTGACAAGATGGCGCTACAGCAAAAATCCATTTGAACCAAATACAAACATAGAGCAATTTGTAAGATCTGCTGACTCAATTTATTTTATTCAATTACATGGTACTTTAAAAACATCATTATATTAATAAATTAAATGTTAATTTGTCTTTTTCACCTGCAATATGGAACTACCTTGGTCGTGTTTGTGGGCAGTCCATGCACTCTGAAGTCTGCATTTATGTATATGCACTCATGAGTCAGACTATACAGGTATCAGACGATACAAGCAGCTAGTACGTTCGTCTGCTAAAACTTAGCTGTGTGATTTAGGCGCTGCCATTTTATTTAGCCAGATACGCTAAACAGTGTGTTATTTTTACCTTAGTTGCGGACATCCGCGTTTTATGTGTTTTTTAGAAAGATAATATTCATATAAAGTTCCTAATAAAACTCTCCAGGCTGTATCTATCATAGTTTTAGAGAAACTTACAAAATCGAGACAAATCCATAAAATCATATTATTTCCTTTCCTGCAAATGATTTTTCTTTAAATATTTCATGTTTTGATAGAGAACTACTAAAAGCACCAATAAATACAAAAAATAAAAAATATCAAGCTTTCCTATGCCACAATTTTTTTTTTCTATGATTTCCTTATTTTTTTGTGAAGAATTTTTGCATACTAGCATTTTTTTTCAACGCGGATATGTTAATTACAGTAATAAGTACTACCACAAAAAAATACCAGATGCAACAAACAGAAGAGTTCAGAAACATTCAATTTTAAATTTTATGTTAGGGTTGTCACTGAACATTTATCCTGTCTGCAAAGCGCAATATTATATATTCATATCTTACTTTACTCACTTCTTAATTTTATTTTCTTCGAGAGGATTGGTGATCATCGGAAGTGACCCTACCCTCCGATTCTGAAGTGGCACAACATATTACAGAGTCCATTTTTCGGACATTGGCATTCCAAAAACTTGTAGATCTGGTCTGATTTAAAACAGTAGAGTACAACTTCCAAAAAGTCGTGATTTGTGGTGTTTTTAAACGAATATGAATAAGGAAATTGGCATTTTATAACAATATCGTTAAATTTGAACAAAACTTAGCAAGTATTTAATAGTAAATATTTTTTACCCTCAATATCGTTACATTATTTGATCTTTGTATTAGTAATTATACAAACAACTTGTGGAGTAATTTCACAAAAAATAATTGAATTTCAATTAAATATAAATTTAATTAAAAGTCAATAGGGACATCTCTACCCAGGGCTGGTAGATGTAAAGTTACCTGACTGGGTGACTAAATACTTTCATAGATGGCGCTACGGCTAAAAAGTCGTTGAAAACCAAATACAAAGATCCGACTCGCGAATTTTTCCATGTGCTTGTTGCACATGGAAATATTCGCGAGGTCCGCTAGTTCGTTCCGTGGCTTAGTTGGCATAGCATCTGCCACGGTTTGCTAGAAGACGTCGGTTCGGATCCGGCCCGATCGATTGGATAATTTTCTAATTTCGTTCTGGACAGGGTGTTCAAGTAATGCCCCGGAATGAGCTCTAGCTATTATTGTTTAATGGAAGTGAGGTCATCGAGTCTTACTATGAGTGGCGAAGCTACGCGAGCAATTCGCCAAATTGAGAACAAACGTCATTTCTTACCATTGTCATCGATGCGCCGAGATATTGCTTTGATCATAATGTCATCTCTGAAGTCTTGATGGAATCTGTCGTAGTTCACCCTCCAATATACGTCTAGAAAATAAATAGAAATTGTACAACAAGAATATATTTCCAACCCTTATTTTAATAAATGTACTTCTTGAGGTATTGTTTTATTAGTAGTGCCTTGTGAACAGTATGTCCAGTATACCACGAGACTTTATGCCACTTATGACTACAGTCTTAAGTGTAAAGCTGTGTGCACATTAAGACATCTTCTTTGCATGATAGTCACCAGTAGTACTAGAGCAACATATTGTTCAAATTATAAAAGTCCCTTTTCCCAAAATGACTGATTTAGTAAATGTCTTTGTATTTAAATGTCTTAGCTAGAAATATTTAACTTATTAGACAAATCTGTAGCATAATATTTTCCATTTCTGGCTACAGTTGTTTTGTGTCATAGATACTTCCGTGTTACTAATAAAAAAAACTATAAAGACTAATGCTCACGCCACACAGAGGTGGCCGCGGAAACGTTCCGGGCGCGGGAATTTTACGAGCCGACGCGCGGCCACCGCGCGTTTCAGTGTGTCAGGGTTCATATAAACTCGTACATTACAAAAATTTCCGCGTGCGGAACGCTTCCGCGGCCGCTTCTGTGTGGCGTGAGCATTATTCGAGCTTTTAGGTTCTCACGATTGTTACACATTGGAAATGAAACAATTTTTTCGGATGTTAATAGTGTATATATTTTAAGTGTTTTTCAAGTTCACAGAAACTAGCGTTTCATTGGTTTCGTGACCATAGGCGTGAGCATGGGACTTGTAAAGGTCTCGAGACGTTGGTTTGTTTGAAAAAACAAGTATACGCAATGTATATATTTATGGGACTTGTCAACTTATGTCTCAGGGTGACGGGCGCAGCGGTAAGTAAGTAAGGCAGCTTTGAAATTTAAAGCTCTGAGTGGCGCTGTAACTTATCAACAGACGTGTAGTAAGCTACACGATAGATGGTAAGCCATCAGACACACGACTTGTTCATCTCGTTGATGTTATAAAAATATACCTTTACAGCAACCAGCGGCTGACAAGAGATGTCACTTTAACAATTGTAATTTTTTAATATGAGGTTTATTAGATATCACGATGTTTTGCTACAATTCGATTTTTTTTCGCGAAATTACTCAACTTCTACTATCGACGGAAGGCATTTTTCGTAGTGTTCGATCTTTGTATTAATAATTATAACAAACTAGTAAAGTAATTTCACAAAAAATAATTGAATATAATTGTAATAGACCATTGTGATATTTATTAAACGTCATATTATTACCACGATATTTATTTATTTTTTTGTGAAATTACTCCACTAGTTTGTGTTAATGGCCCCGGTTTGGCAACTCTTCGTCCGAATAATTACTGCCCAATAAGTAATACTCGACCAAATTAAAAGACGCGTCGCGTAAATGACGCTTCATATTCGGCATTGTTTTTTATTCTGGTCGAGTGTAATATTTATTTGACAGTAGTTGTTTCGGATGGATATCGAATGGAGAACGGGAGTAGACTCCCAGACACAGGTTAGAGTCCAGTCAGGATGAAGGAATTTTTCTTTGTGGTAGATCTTTATATTAATAATAATAATCGTTTTATACTCACTGTCATTAATACCCGACAGGTCTCCACTTGCAACGGCCTGCACAAGTGCGCGAACATCAAAGTCTGGCACAATAGTTGCCACTGGCACCAATGTCGGAATGTCACTACCCTCTTTAAGTTCCGCCACTGGTGCTTGTTGGATGTACGTCGCCGTCGCCAAACTCACGAATGTGTCTTTAAGGCTTATTACCGAGATGTTTTTCTCCTGGAAATTGAAAACATCCTACATTTAGCAGAACAAAAATTAATTGAGAATATAGACATAGAGAATTAAGTAACATTTGTATTTAAATAATTATTAGACATAAAAACACAATCTAAGATAGATAGATAAAACGTTTATGGTTTATGGTCTGGCGTCACACAGTCCACAATAGAATAGAGTAAATGGATTAAAAGGGAAACACAGAAATCAAAATTAAAGAAAAGAAAAAAAACAAACAGCAAAACTATAAATTAAAAAAATCATTAAACATAATAATAGCCTAATGATCAACAGCTTGTGTGTGCTAATGCAATGGTCGTGCCTCAGTGCAAAATTTGCTCAAAAAGAAAACATAGATTTTCAGCCACCACTGTCGAGGGCAGCGCGTTGCGGTGCATCAAAAGCAAAAACATTGTGAAGTGAATGTAGTGTGTAGTGTAATGCATCTAACTACGAGAGGTAAAGATAGGTATTTCACTTAAAAATAGGCCTGAGTTGTGAACCATGTGATAAAACTTAGTTAAAAGACATAAGTGAGTTAAATTAATATTTAAAACACAACATACCTTATCATCTTTAAACTTAGTAGCAATAGTGACAAGTAACACAGTGGCAGTGCAAGTAGCACGTTGCAGGAGCTCTTCTATGAGTAACTCAGCTTCACTACCATATTTACTTTTTATTTCCAGTAGGTACCTGATGGCGAAAATTAATTACAATGCATTGAAATGCATCTTACATCAAAGTTCACTCAAAACCCTCGGAGGTAACTTCAATAATTGTAAAATAAATATAAACTGAGTAAAATAAGCTAACCAACAACATACCTAGGATATCTAATGAGCAGTAGGACATTTTCAGGAAGTAGTTTGTAGTCTGCAATAGTTTCATTTGCTGATGGCTCAAATGTGGCTAAGTCAAACTTAAGTAGAGAACGAAGACTTTCCACTATCTGTAAACAAATGAGAAGAGTTTAAGTTAATTTAAGTTAGTTGATGGTAACATCAATTCCCATTTCTATTCTCACTCCTGCACTGTTCATGTGATCAGACTTTGGAATGCGCTTTCATTACTGTGCACGAAAGTAAATTGCTAGCTATTTTCAAAATAAGAGTTATGGAGCATTATTATCCACTGTATCATCCCCTTCATATGTATTATATTATGAAATATGTATTTATCCAAGTATTTATATAGTTTATAATAATTTAATGTCATTGATATTGTTTTTTTATTACATA